ATGTGATTATTGCTATGAACAATTATTTGAAGGGTTGAGAATTTTCAAAAGGGGAATCATTATGCAATGTTATTAAAGTTGTAGCAAAATAAAAGTTATTCTACGTAAAAGTTATATATTTAAGCATACCAATAGCTTAGTTGGTAGCTGGACACTTGAACTATTCATGTAACCCTCGAACAGTCCAATCGATGAACGAGGCATATATATCAAAATATAAAACTTTTTGCCTCTAATTTAGTAATGATGATGGCCTGGTGAAGCTCAGATGACCGAATCAAGTAGATCTTGCAAAGACTTAATATAGGGACAGGCGCTGGAACGGAGCGGAGCGGAGCGGAGCGAAAGAATCTGTCCAAATTAGGAAGTTACGTTATATGGGTTGGGGCTATACGGTACATGGATAATTTGAGAATTACATATTGTACTGCAGGGCTTACTCTAGGATTATAAATAGACCTGTTTGTAATCCTAGGTCTTTGAGAGAGCTGAATCCCTGAATTATGTAACATCTTTTCTGATTATTGAAATGAACTCGCCGCTCTGCTCCCGAGGACGTAGGCATCTTTGCCGAACCTCGTTAAATATCTGTGTTCTTCTGGATTTGTGTCGTTATTACTGTTTTTCTTCGCCCTTATTTTCTCAACAGGACTTGACTTGATTGAATCATAAGTTGTTCATGTTCAGTTCAAGCTTGAGACAAACTTCAAAAATATGTTTATACTTTACTTGCTTAAACTTTTTTATTTTATTCTTGATTTGACTTGGCTTATTTTTATTAATTAAAAACTTAAAAATTCAAATGAATATTTAATTTTTCATATAGAATTAAAATTTTATTTTGCACATTTCATATAAAACTAGCAAATAAGTTAGTATTTATTGTTTTATATAAATTTATTAACAAATGATCTCACGAATCTAAATAAATAAGCAATTGGGTAGATTTAAAAATTAGTACCTTACTAGTTAATACTAAGTAAAAAAAATAGTATATAAGTTATAAGTAATTTTTTTTACAATCAAATAACATAAATAAGTACTAACAAATTAGTTTATTGAAATAAAAAATAAAAAATCATTTGAATTTATGTGTATATTAATCTTAAATTATAATATGTTACTATTAAATATATTATTAAATAAGTTTTAGATAATCAAATTTTTTTTAAGTAATATATCATGTAAGTAAATACAAGCGAGTCGGTTCATGAATATTAATAATTGAGTTGGACTAAGTTCAAATTCGGAGGAAATTGCTAAACCTTCCATATCATTTGCCTTCCATATTCTTTGCTGATCCTTTGCCTTCCATATTCTTGGCTAAACGGAGATATTCAGGGAATTAACTTAATTTAAGGAAAATTTGTTTTTAATTAAGTTGATTTAAATTAAATTAAGTAAATTTAATTAAAGATTTTCTTTGCTGAATAAAGAGAGGAAATAAAGGAAATATTTATTTCTTTTCTTGGAGGCAGAGAGGAAATATATATATATATATATTTTTTTTTTCTTGAATATTTCAATTTTTC